GGGGGGGGGGGGGGGGGGGGGGGGGGAGATATACTTTATAAGAATGGGAAGGCATCGAAAAGTAAAAAGGAAGCAAAGGAATAAAATAATAAAACAATTATAGAATCTAAGAAAAATTAGAGAGAAACATGAGCAATTTAATACAGGCAACCAGCACAAATTGATCAATTGTCCAGCTGTTAATAGTCCTTAATTCCTAAGTAAGAAAAACTCTTATTTAAAAAGAAGAATACTACAAAATTATTTTAAAAGAAAAATATAATAAAATGATCATCAAATCGAAATTTTGAGCTTGAGGTTTATACTAAAAGGGTATTAAATCAAAGGAACAATACCAAACAATTGACTTGTCACAAAGCCAATCTAACACTCCAAGCAATGATACTAAAGATTCAAGAAACCAATAGTTTACTCCCATTTCTTCATCCATCCAATATCTTGATGTTTCAATAGCCATTAGAAGTTTTCATAATTGGACCAACTATCCTAGTGCAAACTATCTTTCTGATAGAGGTGATCATCAGTCGATCAACATTGGTTTTGGGCTCCAACCGAGTTTTAGAACTGCCAAGTCAATTTTCTACCATCCTAGATAGTTGGTTTTGGAAGGGTTTATCATGCGGACTGACTGACCACACTGGCGGTTGGTCGATTTTGGTCAGTTTTGTGACTCCAATGAACTGAGCATAAAATTGTGAGAATAAGAGAAGGACGAGAAAAGAAAAGAAGAAAGAAGAAAAAACGTGAGGAAGGGAGAAGAAAAGAAAAACAAATGAAAGAGAGGGAGAAGAAAGAGAAAAAAAGGAAAAAGGGAAGAAGAAACGAGGAGAGAAGGGGGAGAGAAAGGAAGGAGATACAAAAACAATTAATAAAAATCCATGGGAAGACTGGCATGGTCTTCCCAAGGTGTAGCTGCTGCTGCCGCACAATAAATGGCATTAGCCCTTTTTTCTTCTTCTTCCACTTCTTTCTTATTTATCTTCATTATGTTATGGTCAGTCATTCGGTTCGAAAAGTATTTTCCAACTAAGCCAACAACTGCCCGACAACAATTAAGTCAGTTTTGGTCGGTCGGATCAGTTTTCAGTGTTGTTTAATCACCCCCAGTTTCTGATGTACCTTCATTACTGGAAGCTTTGGTGTAGCTCTGGATTAAGTTCTTGTTAAATTCTTGATTAAGTGTTAACCGATTATTGTTTTGAAAGTAGTTAGGAGTCTGTTTTAGTTAAGTTGGTGGCTGTTTGTTAGTTTTTCAGCCGCTGAAGGCTTCTTCTGTAACAAACTCAATATAAATACTAGTTGTTTCACATTCAAAGCATCAATAATAGATTAGGGACATTTTTCTTCTACTCAGTTCACACAAAATTGGTATAGCTCCTATCCTACATCCTAAGGCTTGATGGCAGGAAAAGGCATTGTCCATCCCGGTAGGGGGGAATATGGATCCCCAATCCAACCCACTATGGACTCTTTCTCCCAAAATGACGAACAAATGCTGGCTATCAGTTATTTTGCTCTTTAGGTTGATTATATTTTGATATTATTTCCTTTTTGTAATAGATCTTCCTTCTAAAGAAGCGCAAATGTAACTTTTGTGAATAAGATATAATATTTTATTCGACATAATATTTAGCAAAAACACTATTGAAGATGAAATCCCCCATAAAATGCAAGTCTTTCTTTGATCTATAGCCCCAGGTAGTATCAGCACACGGTCAACAGCATGGCTCTCTTTCAAAACTTATTATTGGTTGCTCCACAGCTACAACCTTATGGATCAATCCTTTAGAGAACTGGGTGTGGATTGGGTTCACCATTGCACATCAAGCTTTACCTATTGCATCTCTTTGCCAATCACAGATTCCCAGCCCAAAATCAGACGTTTAAGAAAGATTCCCTTTCAGAAGTTAGGCTTTTTACGTTCACACTAATTAATGAAACATGTAGTGCTTTTATGGGAAAAGAAAATCCACAAGAAAAATATTCAACATGAGTTCAACATGTGGTCCTTTTCACAAGAAAGGCTGCAAGTCATCAAATGCATGTCAAAAGTGTAATTAGATAATATGTGAAGGATTAAATGATTAGAAAAACTAGAGCGAAGGAAAAAGGGGAAACGTGTCTAAGTGTAGAATATGGCAGAAAGTGAACCTCAACAGCATCATATTGGCCATGCCTTAGCAGAACCAGTGCAAGTTCGGTTGAAGTATTCAAAATGGCGGAAGGTTCTCTACCGTTCCCCCAAATAACCCAGCTGGTAAAATTGTGTGTTGCAAGAACAATGTCCTGTGGACTAAGAAGACATTTGGAAGACAAGTAGATAGGTCCTTCAGTTGAAGGATTCATCTTTAACATCAGTAAAGAAGCCAATGTAAAGTCACATTTTCCAAGCTTCCCCTTCCATATTTCTTTACTTCCATTTTTATCTGTAACAGGATTAAAAAAAAAAATTAAAAATAATAATTAAAAAATGAAAGACGAAAAACTAGAAAAATAACATCCTTCAAATAAACAACAGCATTTAAATTTCCAGCCAGAACCACAATTTGAACATCAAACGAAGGTACCTATTTATCTAAGTGATGTTTATAAACTCATAACTTGAAGAATAGAGATAACATCATGCCATCAGATGTCACATTAAGGACCTCCTTGAAATGATCTCTTGGTGTAAGCAGTGAAACAGAAATAATGAAAAAAAAAAAAAAAAAAACGAATGTGCTCTTGAAGTTTGATTAGCACTTCCCTTAAAACGCATAATACCAGTAAGAACACGTTATTTTACAACAGGCAAAAAAAATACTGAAATAAAATGATAAAGAGTTCGCTCAGATGATAATACCATTAACAACCACCTTACACCTACCAATTTGTAAAAGTGAAAGTTGAGAACTGAAATCCTCAACTGCAGCTGACTCAGATGGCGTGATAGCAAGGAAATGAATAATGTGCCACTCACAAATAATTTCCTCGATCATAGGAATTAAGTCAAGTTTTATTCTTGATGTATCATCGTGGAGTAAGCCAACCTGTATGCAAAGTGGACCACTAAAGTATTTAACGTAATAGAAGCATGATAAAAGTACTTAAATATAACACGATCGATAAAAACAGGATCATGCTTAAAGATCCAGCCAGAGGAGATGTAAAGAGGACCACTCAAGCATTCAATATAATAAAATATAAGCATAGTAAAATGTTCTTAAGGACAACAATTCTGATTGCTTGTGTTCTCCCATTTACCACAACCTATAGATCCATCTCAGATGCCTCCAATATGATTGTCTTTGGCTTGTGGGGCTCCTTAAGGTTCTTTTTATTTAAACTAAAAAAAAACATAAAAATATATACAAGAAAGAGAACCTCAAAGAAAGGAAAATATATTCTCAATAAAAATAAAAATAAAAATAAATAATAAATAAAAACCTTAAAAATTAGACCTAAGAGATTGCAATATAAAAGGGAGACAATTTCCTAATTTTATAATTACAAGAATGCCCTAACTTTGACATTGATTTACAACGCTTATCACATATCAATGAAAAGTTTGTTTATTCTATGATAAAAAAAGAAGAAGAAGAAGAAGAAAAGATCAACATGTTATCAAAATGCTTAATATAGAAATTAAATCTGTCCAGGACATAAAGCAAATAACAGGAAAAAAAAAAAAAAAAAAAAAAAAAAAAAAAAAAAACGTTAAAGGGAAATAAAAAAAAAAAAAANAAAAATTAAATATAAAAATTTTTGGTCCTCAATTAATTAAAATAGATCTTTTACGATAAAGAAATAAAAAATAAAAATAAAAAAACAAGCAATAGATGGGTGCCATTACACATGTCAACATTTTTAGGAATCTGCAATATGTACGTGAAAAGAAACTGACCTGCCCACTGACGGAGACCATATAATTTAGAAACAACAGGACGTCTAATGCTGACTCAAGCATAACCTTTGAAATTTGGGAGGTTGCGTGAACCAAAATAGAGGTATTGACATCTGATGACCTTTGAGGCTGTACCTTGTGAGACATCTTCCGAGGAACAAAGTATTTGAGAAAACTCTCAACAACATCTAAAACCCTGCCCCATGAGGCACCCTTGTTGCACAAAGTATGAAGAGAGAGCATCATTTCAATAGAAAATTTTCGAAGATTTTTCTTATCAGTCAATTCCCTTTCCCAACCATAGCCAGCATGAAGATCTGACCTTTTAATCGTTCCCACAGACGAGCCATATCCATTTTCTAGAATCTTCAAAATTCTACCAACAATTTCTCCGAAAGGGATTATAGGTGTGCTCATGAGTGACTCATAAAATATAGCTAAAGTTGTTTTTCCCAACCGATTGCTAATACTAATAACACATCTCAAGACCTCCAACAATAGTTCTGAATCTGAATCATTATCAATCCAATCAACGTCAGGGCCTCCAAGTTCATCAAGTTCCCCAGAAAAACCTAGCAGATGATAGTAACGGGAATGTCAATGCACAAATAATTAAGGGGGATTGGTGGTTTTCATCAAGGGGTACATGTGTAAAACAACCTATTCTGCTATCCTACTTGAAAAACTATAATTCGCTGATGAATTATATATATATATATATATATATATTTTGTGTTACAATTAATGGCAGGAATGTTTAAAATACCGTCTAAAAGTTGTTCAACATTGTCCAAGCATCTAAAAAGTGATACCGAATTCCTTCTGACTAAGCCCACAGCAGTTGATGTATTGTCAATAAGTAAGAATGAAGGTGCATTGTTTGTGCACCAATGATGGATGTAGTGGGTACAGAAATTTTTCCACCATAGGTATATTGAAATTGGAGTTGCAGTTGCTCCCTAGCACAAAAAAAATATGTCATCCTTGAGTTCCCTTAAAAATCATCCTATTATGCCCAAAACACACTTTAAAGCAGAGAAATCCACTATTACATGGACCATAAGATATAACTCTAACAGAGCCAAGAACCTACATAAATAAATCCAACATATGAGAGTGAAAAAAAAACCTCATCTTCAATGAGAGAAAGAATTTCTTGTTTCAGTTCATCAGAGGTCATAGATTGAAAGTTAGAATCTGTCCAGTGTCTACTATATTCCAGTAAAGTCGCACGAAGAGCCATTTCATTGTAAACCCCAGGCTGTAGTAGTCTGCGTACGAATATAGAAGATATGAACGGCACAACCTCATCCTGCTTATACATTAAGAAAACCATTATAAGCGTCATAATCCAACTTAACATCAGAAGTCTGGTTCTAGTTCAAAACATATTTTAACAATGAAATAGATCAGCAAAGTTTCGGTATCCAACACAAAAGTACTTGATGAACATGCACCAGCTACATATCAAATACATGGTATCAGATTTTTTTTTTTTTTTTTTTTTTGTTATTTTTTAAACTCCCATATAAGTTGGCAATGCACACAAGTGCACAGAAAAAATGAAAATAATTCTTCTGGTAAGCAAAAAAGTGAAAATATAGTACTTCAAAATAAAACGTGGAAGTCTTAAAACAAAACTAAGAATATATACATCAAGGAACGAAAAAACAAATGACAGTTTCTCAAAGAAATTATAAAAGCTAAAACGATAATGGGTGAACTATTGACACCTGGGCTTAGTAAAAAACAAGGCATTCTGATATGAGAGAGAATTGTCTAAAGCTAAAGAAGATGGACAAAAAAGAAAACAACGGAAGAACATGAATGATTTAAGCAAAGAAGAGGAAGAAAAGAAGAATAAATTGGAAATGATTTGGAGTTCAATTTTCCAATTGTTAATGGGCATGAAAAGGTTTCTGATGAAGCTTGTGATGATGAAGATTTTAAAGAAGCTCTTTGTTCCATTTTTTAAGAAGAAATTAACTCACTTTTGAAGAAACAGTTAGATGAGTCTTCTACTCCCCCTCTCCAACACACTAGATGAAAAAGAAACAATTTCTTCATTTCCAATGAAATGTAACTGATATTTATGAGATTATTTCTATTTCTGAGGATGGGGTTTTGGCCTTTTGGTTTCGTTCCCTCTTTGGAATGATTGTCTTTTGCTGGACTGAAGTAGTTGTTGTCGTTTGTTTTGCTCTAAGTTTTCAATTTTTGGGTGATGTTACTGCTTCTTGTGGTTTTCTTCGGAGTTGACTACTTGAGTTTTGCGCTGATTGGACTTTCTTGGTTGTTTGGCCTTGTGGTGTTCGTGCATTTCTCTTTGGCAGTTGCTGCTTTTCTTCCTTTTTTGGTGTCCTGTTTCAACTGGTTGGTGCAGTTTCTATTTGAAGGTTCAATTGGTTCAAAGCTCTCAAGGAGTTTTTTTTGGCACTCTGATCTTCTAGTTTTGACTTGCTTTGGTTTTATTCAAGTTCTTGTGATCATTTTTCTTTTTTCATAGGGCATTATTCTTTTCATTTTCAGTTTGCATCTCTTTTTGAAAAACAAAAATAATAACAGTCGTAGTAGTAGCAGTAGCAGTAATAATAATAATAATAATAATAATAATAATAATAATAATAATAATAATAATAATAATAATAGTAATAGTAATAGTAATCATAATAATAATCATGGTCAAATAATATATCAGTAGGAATTGTGGGATAATTAAAAAGGAGAAACCACCGACCTATGCCTTAAACTTCAAGCATTTATTGATCGAAGTTGAAAGGTAGAAGACAGTCAACTTTTGGATTGTGGTAATTTTTTTATCCATTTTGTTCTTAAGCTTGAAGTTTCTATCTATCTATCATATTATTCTTAGACAATGGTGTTTCCCCTCTTCACCCGGGGCAAAAGATAACAGAAAAGTATATAAACAGCTAACGAGGTGTGCGCAAATGTCTCGTGTGTCTAAGCTGATTAAAGGAGAAAGAATGTTAAGCAGGTTTCAGCAGCACAAGGAGAAGGCTCTGGAGTTCAAAATAACATACAAATGAAAATTACCTTTGTCGAAGAAAATATTGAATGTGTAACCCAAAGAATTGCATCAGAAGAATAATCCGCACTCTGAAATAACTGGTCTGCAATAAACTCTTCTTGCAATGCGTAACATTGTGCTTCTCCCCTATCAGATGAATAGGCAGCATAAACTAGAATAAATCATATTAGACCAAAACACCTAAGCTGCTAGGAATAAGAAACAATCTCATTGATGGTATGATTTTACAAAAACAGGGGAGGTTTCCATCTAAAGTAAGCTACAGAAAGTTATTCCAAATGGATAGAAGAGAGTTCAAACTATAACTGGAAAATGGAAAAGTATTTTACTTTCCTAATTATTATTAGTAGATTTTATTTTAATAGTCAAAATTAAACAATTTGGGTAGAGAAATTACAAATTGGTAATATACCACTAAAAACGACGAGCCAATTATTTACAACTAAAAACGACAAGCCAATTATGTGTTTGGCTTGACTTCAATATCACCAAAGACACCAAAGACAAAATCAACTCTCCAACCAAACCAATCACAAGAAACAAGATGAAGACTACCCCCCCCCCCCCCCCCCCCCCCCCCCCCCCCCCCCCCCCCCCCCCCCCCCCCCCCCCCCCCCCCCCCCCCCCCCCCCCCCCCCCCCCCCCCCCCCCCCCCCCCCCCCCCCC